CCGGCCGGGCGCGCGGCGGTCCTCAGACCGGCGTCCTGAGTGGCACGTCGAGCTGTCTGCACCAGCGATGTCGCCCCGAGCTCTGGGAGCGTCCCTGGGAAACGCACTCGGCCCTCCCCTGCTGCAACAGCGCAAGACCAGCAAAACCTGGCCTGAGATCGGCGTGCCGACCTCGGGACCCCGGGGGTCGGGGCTGGTCAAGAGCGGGTCACCGGGACTGAGGGTGGAACGGGGCGCGCGGGTGGCGGTCAGTACCTGCCTGTCACGGAGCTCCACGCCTAGACAGCGGAGCAGGCAGGCTCGGGTGCTTGCCCAAGAGCAGTTCGTGTTGCCTCTGCCGAGACCTTCGTGAGCAGGTGGAGCTTGGGGTCCTGGGGTGTGCCCCGTCTCTTGCTCCTCAGGAAATGATTGTCCTCTCCTTTCCTACATAAACGATTGAGAGCTGAAAACGTCCCGAGACATCTAAACCGAACCTCTCACTTTTCGGACGAGGAAAAGAACGCCCAGAAAGGTTAGATGAGTTACCCAAAGCCACGCAGCGTTTCAGTGACAGAGTCTGGATACAGTCAAAGCCAAGGATGTTTTTCTTTATATTACACTGTTTTATCTACCATTCTGTCTTTTCCTTTTCCTCCCTCTTCAACCTAGACTTCACGGGCATCGTTTTGTTTTGTTGGCAGCACACAGGGCTTAAAGTAGTATTGGCCCTGTTGCCCAGCAATGTGAATGTACTTAACACTACTGAACTGTACACTTAAAAATGGTTAAGACGGGAATTTTTATTTTATGTGTATTTTACAATTTTTAAAAAGGCACTCTAAGTAAATTCTGAAGAGTTTTGAGTTTAAGGCATATAGTTTCACATCAGAAAGTGAGCTATGTGGACAAGCATAATAAGTGAGATCTGAAATGACAGTTTCAGTGTTTCTAATAAATAAATACTAGTACGGGAATTTTTTTTTTTTTTTTTTTATTCCTTAGGCTAATTCTAGGTGTCAGTGTGTCTGACGGAGCCAGCAGTGCGTCTGCTGAGCTGAGGATGAGCGAGGAGGCAGCGTGTGGGGAAACCTGTGTGTGCCTGCTTCATGTATGTACAGATCCCTTTAGCAGAGGAGCCTCTGGAGATGCACTGCCCTAAAACAGGTGCATTTTATTTCAATTTACACACCATCCTGTAAAGACTGCCAGGCCCAAGACACATCATAGCTCACACTGGGAGGTGGAGATGATGGGGAAATTACCACGAATATATCAACATGACAAAATCTCAGAAATACAACACTGAGTGAAAAAAGCAAACTATAAGATATGTAAATGTGATGCCTCTTTAAAAAATACCTAGCAATACTACGTATTGTTTATGAAGGCAAACATGTATACTGATAATAAAAACATAAAAAGCGGGCAAGAAGGCTACACACTAATTTCATGACAAATGACTGCCTGTAAGCAGGCAAGGAGGGGACTGAGAACTGGGAAGTATACAAAGAGAGCTTCTGTATCTGTTAAACACACACACAAAATTTAACATTTAAAAAAAAATCTCTGGAGAATCAGGGTGTTTCTTATGAAAGTCTGTAAACTCTTCTTTATGTTTGAAATGTTCCACTTAAAACTAATGTTGAAGTATCACGGACATTTAGCTGTGTGTGTGCTCAGTCTTGCACACAAGGTACAGTGTGACTCACACTACCCTGGGGGGAACAGCATTTAAAAGGATGAGGACCACTGGACAAGTGGAGGTCCAGAAGGTGTTGGTTGAGAGGAGAAACGAAAGGGACCTCCTTTTCAGGGATAAAAATATTCAAATCCAGCTGGGGTAAAGTGAGATGCTCTCTATGGTGCCATCTCTCTCTCATTCCATGTTGTCACCACCAATAGAAAGTCTTTAATGAGCTGGAACTTCAGAGAGACACGGCACTCTCAAGATTGTTAAAACTTGTCTCTTTCCGGATGAACCCGTTTTGGAGCCATAAATATTAACAGGTAATGCATGGTAATATAGTCTTGCATCTGCTTACCTCCCCCAGGCCGCCTCCTCCCCTCTTCCCCCAACAAAGTCTTTGGTTATTCATTTACATTCAACCCGGTCAAGTGGAAAAACCACGAGGCTGAAATTCAGGTTCTAATTTCAGTTTGGCCACTTACTGATCCTTTGTTAACTTAAGGAAAACAACAACCTCTATGAGCATCACTTTTTTCTTTTTAAATTGGAAATATGCAAATACTGCTTATTTAAAAACTATGAAACACAATACACACTTAGGGTTTGTACATTTGTTTATGTTGGAGAAGGGTACATTCTTATCTATTTTAGGAAACAAAGATAGTAAGGAAAGTCTTTTGTTGTTGTTAGTTGCTGCCCATAAGAACTGCTTTACATTGACCAAAGGAGCTCCCTTCTGGAATTTTGAACTTTGGGGTATTTTCCAGCACTTGGTTACAGTTCTATCACAGCTGTTATGACTATCAGCCTTCCATTAATTATTTACACATTTCATTTTCCAGTCTTCCTCATTAGATTCTTTTTTATCCTTGTATCCTCACTCTGCTCCTTATTAAAGGTGAGCGCTCAATAAATTTAATTAAATTAGACCGGATTTTAAGAGTGTCCAAATTTAGAGTTGTTCTTATTCAGGCATGCCATCTGCTGGTCCCCTGGGGTATCTGTAGGCCTGAATTATTTACACATTTCATTTTCCAGTCTTCCTCATTAGATTCTTTTTTATCCTTGTATCCTAATTAAATTAGACCGGATTTTAAGAGTGTCCAAATTTAGAGTTGTTCTTATTCAGGCATGCCATCTGCTGGTCCCCTGGGGTATCTGTAGGCCTGCCTGAATTTCACAAGCCAATAAACTGAAATTCGTGTTGAAGCATTTGTGTGTTTGTGTTGTGTGCATTTCCCCCACGTCCTCCCAGTTCCCGTTGCAGGTGCTATTCTTTCATCGGGAGACTGAGCCAGTCACCAATTCTTTCTCCTCCAACCCTCTTTTACCTGTTGGCCACTCCTAAAACCTGGCAAAGTGGAATTTGCATTTCGGAGCTACGGAGAACAATACAGCTGGGCATGCTCAGAAGGTAGGGCTAGCTGATCTGGAACACAGCCGTCTTGAAGGAAGGTTTCCGATGCTGCTTGTTTTAGAGTGGATGCACCTTCATCCTGACGCTATTTCATCCTAGTGTTATATCGAGCTGTTGCAGCCCCTCCCACTTTCTTGGCGCTCACACTTCTTAATATTACCCCTATGCCCAATTTTGGAATCAGCCCTTCTGGGTCCCCTGGCCAATCAAGAGACCACACATTGTTGCCTAAGAGACCCCGGGTGCCAGCAACAGGATTTGTACATGATGATTGGACCAATGGAAGCTGAGAGGAGGAGGGGAGGGCTGCAAGGAGTCAAAGACAAAGCTGACCTAATGCAACTATGGCAACATCAGCGTTTGAGGCTTGAAGAGGGAGACAGGCTGAAAGAGGTGAGAGCTGCGGGCAGTGCATGAGAAAGATGGAGACTCTCTTCTGAGAGCTTCACACTTAAATCTTCCTGGGCCTCTCCCAAGCCTGGTCAATGCTCCTGGGGATTATATTTTGCTCTCCCATTTCAGCTGCATTTCAAGTGCCAGATGCTCCATTATGAAATTAACAACCGACAATAATTATATGCCTATCAAGCACGAACTCTTTGCATTTTGTTATAGTTCTTGCTTCGTTTTTAAGTAGTTGAATATAAGATGAATTCATGTTTGAATCTACGCATACCCTCTTTCCTGATAATATTTGAGATTCCCTTGTCTGATGATATTACAGTGTGCAGTGGTTGAATTGTGTGATAGCAGAGAAATTCAATCCTACTCTGCTCTGGAAATTCCAAATAAAAATCCAATAATCCTGAGTGTAATCCCAGTTCCCAGTTCATAATGTTCTGAGCTTCACTCTGTATTTCCACTAGTTTTATTCCTTAAACCACTCCCCCTACCTTTTTGTATTCCTTCTTAACGATGATTTAACAAATATTTATTGAGCATATATTACATACTACTGTGATTAGTATTCAGGTGAGCAGCATTAGGAAACCAAATAAGCAAAGAAGCATCAGAGTTTTGTGCCATGTTCTCAGCGTAGTCAGGAGTTCAGTGTGTCTGGGCAGAGAGTGCATGAGGGAGAGGGGGGATAAAGCTGAAAAGGTAGGTTGAGGTAAAATCACAGCGAGCCTAGACCTGCATGCTAAGGAGTCTGGATTCTGTAGCCACTAGCAAGCCTATGAAGGCTTTTGAACTGAAAAGTGGCATGATCAACTGGTCTCTAACAGTAGACTGCGAACTCCGTTAAGGCAGAGATTCTTATTTTTGTACCCCCCTAACACATGTGTAGTAGGTCCTTAGTAAAGTTGTCGAGTAATGGTGACATTGTAAAGAATGTCTTAGACGATCAGATTGGAAGTGTGTGGCCGCTGGAACTTTGCCAGAGGACATCCTTGCTGTTGGACATGGAACTAGGGCCATAGGCCCTCTTTCTACAATTTTTATCCCAAGAAAAATTAAAGATGAGCATTAAAGGACAGTCATTATGGGAAAAAGAGGTCACAACAACAACAAGATGTACCTGTGGAAGGAGGGGAAGACAACTTGCTCTGTCTTGTGGAGGGAGTGGGGGCGATTATGGTTTGTGTATGTTATATAAAAGTCTCTGTCTTTTCAATAGTAGTGAGTGATCTATATTGTTAACATGTGTACATGCAAATACACACACTGTTCATCTTCTGGAATGGCAGGAGAAGGGAAAAAAAGTGAAAGGATAATAACAAAAAATAAGGCAGGACTCCCCCAATGTCATGCTTCAGCAGGACTGTGCTACCAAGAGGGCTGCTTCTCCTGACCAGGTCCAACTCCTGAAACCAAACATTCCTCAAATGGATTCGACCAAAGCCTAACCCAAGTTGTTTCTAGCTCTGTGGAACCAGGAAAGAGAAAACAATACCACAGGCCCTTGGAGAATCACTGAGAAAAGCTAGGCTGTCCTAATTCAGAAATTGTGCCTGGAATCAGTCAGATCATTTCTTGTCCAAACTGGAAATAGAGAGTTTCTCAGCTTAGAGCAGGAACTTTTAACCTAGGTAATTTCATGTGCATGTTTCCAGGGAGAAGATTCATAGCTTTCATCATATTCTCAGAGAGCGTATGGCCCTCAACAAAACGAATAAAAACAACTAGTTTGAAGAGAAGAAAGGTAGACTATAAATAAGTAATAATAAAAATAAATACATAATTTTCCATTGGAGAGGTGTAGACTTGGCAACCACGCTTTATATCTATAATTTACCTGCTTGCCTGTGCTTTTATCACTGGCTGTCAATTAGTGATAGTGCAATGAGATAATTTCTTATGCCTTTTGAAACTTAGCTCAGCACGGTGTGACCCTGATAGTTAGCCATTAAGGGCTGAGAAGAACCTGAGGGCTGATCTGAGCCCCCTTCATTCCAGTGGAACGGTGGCAGCAGGCAACTGCAGAGAGGCATTATCGGGTGTTACCCGTGGGTGTCAAGCCATAGGTTTTTATCTTCAGCCGTAACTTAAACCTGAGAGAGAATACTGTGCCAAGTGAGAACCTCAAAGATTTCAGATATATCATTTGGGGAAATTCCATGTCAGCCAAAAAATAATGATTTTTAAAATATTGTCTGATATTTGCTGATGTTGGATCATTTGTGGAGCCCATAGATCAGGAAGGTGGATCCTGGCCCCCTCCAACCATCACCACTACCTGTCTATGGAAAACCCACCCTCAGAGAGAAGGGAAGGCAGAAGCAGTGGGGATATGTATTGAAACTATGGTGAATTTCCTTTAGGGCTGGCCAGTTAGCTCATTTAGAGCATGCTGCTGCTGATAACACCAAGGTGCAGGGTTCAATACCTAAATCGACCAGCTCCCCCCTACCCCCAAATCTGTTTTAAATGTTTTCCACTTTAAAATATTTTGTCGTGCCCCTCCAAAGAACAAGGTTTGAGGCATTCTGTAAATGACAAGGCTGCAGGGTGGTCACTACTTATTGAGGCCACCTATCTGGCATTCTGCTGGACCCTTTTTCTCTAATCTTTGAGCAGTTGAGGGTGGATATATGCATTCTTATTTTACAAATGAGGAAACTAAGTCTCAGATAGACTAAACAACTGGCAAAAAGTTGCAGAGCTAGTAAGCGTGAGAGTCAAGAATAAACCTGTATAAAGTAAAAAAAGAAAAGCTTGGTTACAAAAACAGAGACAGATTCTAGCTAACAAGCAAAAGAAGAAATTCATTGCCAGGATACCAGGTGGCTCACAGTGTGGACAAGAAAGGACATGGGGCTTCTAGGGGTTGAAGTAGCAGGAAGAACTTAACAGTCTGCTCAGGGCACCAGTGCTACTTTGAATGACCACCTCATCTGTAAAATAAGGATAAGCCATGGCCAGGCCAAGTGGCCTAGCTTGGTCTCAAGACCATCTCTTGGCTCAGGAAGGGGAGGTCACCTTGATTAACCAATCCAGCAGGCTCTAAACAGTCAGGGAAAAGTAATTCCTCATGAAAATTAGAGTGCTTTAATCATATGGAGGCAGACTAAATACTGGACAACTGAAATCAGCAAATTTCCTCCAATAAACTCAAATGTGTCCATTTCTAAAGCCCAGGCTTTTTCCATTATACCATTCTACTTCTTAAATATGGTATTGGGCTGGAACTGTTATTAATGAGAAGTCAGAAACTTAAGAAGGGATGAGGAGAGTTAATATCACAGGGGAAAAGAATGAAGTGTTTTATATCGCATTATTATTTGAAACTTAAAATACTTCTCTTTCTGTCCAATGTGGTATGTTCTTAGCTAAGAGTGATTTGGGATTTCTCCCCATGTTCCAATAAAAATAAGAGTTAAACCGACCTGGGTCGATTCCCTGTTCCACCACTTAAATCATATGTGCAACCTTGGGCAGGGTGCGTAACTTCAATGAGCCTCATTTTGATCGTGTATAAAATGAGCTAAAATCCACCACCTCACCAGATTGCTGTGAGCTTTCATTGAGCGTACACATAAAGTGCTTGATATATAGGATGCTCCCAATAAATGTTTCCCCCCCCCACCTCATTCCCTCTCCCAACATACTAAAAAATTATGTGGTATTTGTATTTTTAGAATTCTGAAGATTGTATGATTCATTTCTTTCAGTAGGTATAGTCTTTCTTATGGAAGAATATCCAGTTATTTCATGATGGCATTTGCACCTCCAAAAAGCATAGATGGTCCCAAAATGCAGACAAAGATGAGTTCCTGGACACCCCTAAACCACCAGCTTTTGAATGATCAGGTAAGTGACTAGAGTTTTTATCAGTTGGATCCATGCCTTAAAGAAAAAAAAGTATTAAAATGTTAGTTATCAAAATATGAACAGGAATTGTTTAGGATTGTGTGATGGATGAAAAAAAGACAAAATTAAGTATTTAGTCAAAAAATTTTATTGAGCCCTCGCTGTATGGACAGGCTGGCAATAGGCACAGAGTCCCTGCCCAAGAAGAAAATGTCTTAGATTTGTTCTTTCCTCCACTGTCACCCCTCCTCTCTCTCACCCCAGTTGCCTTTTTTCTTCCATTACTGGTTTTCTGGAACCAACAGGCACTAGTAGCAAACACCACACAAAGGATTGCAGCGGATTGCTGAGGTGTGAGATTGGCCAGTCGCTGGGGATTTCTATTTCCGCTTCAGTCAGGGCAGAATTTACTAATAGGTCTTAGAGCGCCTGTTATCAATCTCTCCATCCAGGACCACACATCATTGCAGTAAAATACAATCAACATGTATAAAACTGACCTCCTTATCTTGCTCCTACACACCAGTTCCTCTCCCTGTGGAAAGGCACTGCTTTATACTAAAGTCACTCAAGCTAGAAATCTTCCTTCTCCCTGTCACTGCGGGATTTGATTTTCCCTAACTTAAACCTAGTGAGTTATGGAATAGAAGACACTGCTGTTTCACAGCAAAAGACCCAAGATTCTCGGGTTAGAGACAAAGAACTTTACTCTCAGCGCAGAAAGCAGCATGAACATTATGTTTGCAGCAGTTCTCCTGGGCCACCTCATCCCACAGAAGTGACACAGAGGGCCCAGATAAATGCTACTCACACTGTAGGTTTGCACTGCAGCTGAGGAACATTGCTCCCTGGGAATCCACTGCTTCTACAGTAAGCAGCAAGCAAGCCTGCTCTTGGTACCTAAGGGAGACATTATCTCATCCTTCAAGGTTGCCGTATTAGTCCATTTCTGTTGCTTATAACAGAATACCTGGAACTGGATGATTTGTAAGAAAACAAAATTTATCGCTTACATTTTCAGAGGCTGGGAAGTCCAAAGTCCAGGGAACACACCTGGTAAGGGTCTTCTTTGGTGGCTGCTTTATAGCAATGGAGGGGTCTCACATGGCAGAAAATGGCAGAGCAAAGACAGAGAGACTCTCATGTGCTCTCCTTTTAAAGCCCTTGGAACCATGCCCCTGACCACCATTATTAATCCATTCAGTAGGCATTGTCCTTCAATCCAATCACCTCTTCAAGGCCCCACTTTTCAATTACCATAATGGGATTTCCCACCCTCAACAGTTACAGTAGCTTTTAATATATGGACTTTGGGGGACACAATTCAATCAATCCACAGCAGTTGTCCTTCTGTAAATACAACCTGGAGAAATGGCCCAAGTAAAGAGGGCACCCAGCCTTGCATTTGTGGCATGCCAAGACATTTGGGAGCATGAGAGGCCTAAGAAGGAGTGTCTACCAACACTCCCTCGCCTCCACATCCCTTTTGTTTTCAAGTCCTGTGAGTCTTCCTCCTAATCTCTCATTCAGTCCCCTTCTCTCCATCCACCTATGTGCCTCCAGCTCCACGTTCTCAGCTCACAGCCTCATCACCCTCTGCCTGGCACATTGCAGTAACCCCCTAACTGGTTTCACTGCCGCTATTCCTACCCATCCATCCTCTATTCCCATCCCAGAATGATCTTTATAAAATACCAATCCTGTTATGTGAAACTGTTAAGGGATCCCACTCCAAAGGGTAAATTCCAAACCCCCATTGCCTTGCACTGAGGACCCTTCATGACTTGATCTCGGCCAGCCTCCCTGTTCCCACGCCTACCACTGCTTCCTCACGTCAGTGCCCACAACCAAGCTCGGGGCTGCAGGTGAGCCCTGCCCGTGCACCTCTGTGCCTTTGCACGGCTCCTGCTGGCCCCCGTTGCTGTCATCCTAGATGTTCTCTCTCTAGATGGCCTCCCCTGCTTCCTGCTCCCTGTTCCTTGCTGCCTTCATGGGTACTAACCTTCCCACTCAATTCTAAAGCCCTGGGAGTTGAGGTTCTACCTGTTCTCTCAGTAACCAGGGCCTGATAGAATTCCTGAAGCACAAGAAGTGGAGTCAGAGTTCAGGTCGACTCCCTGATGCCCCTCCATTCCTCTCTGCCCCTCCAGTCTCCTTTCTTAGCACGGATTTGACCCTGGGCCTCTCTAACTCTAACAGATGTGCTAATCCCTCTGCTCAGTACTTTCTATTTCTGCTCTCCGACGTAAAACATGAGCGATTTCAGAATCCCTGATGCCCCTCCATTCCTCTCTGCCCCTCCAGTCTCCTTTCTTAGCACGGATTTGACCTTGGGCCTCTCTAACTCTAACAGATGTGCTAATCCCTCTGCTCAGTACTTTCTATTTCTGCTCTCCGACGTAAAACATGAGCGATTTCAGAAAAGGACAGAGAAGCCAGAGTAGGGGTTGGAATAGTGGGAAATAAAATGGAGAGAAACTGAAAGGAGAGAGATAAAGGAAATGAGGAAAGAGGAGAGAGAGAGAAAAGGAGGGGCCAGAAGAAACAAAAGGAAAGGCAGGGAAAGAGAAAAATCCACCTTTCATGTAGCCATGGACACCAAACAAGTCTACTGAAAATCCTTTTTATTCAGTTCAACCATTATTTATTGAGCACCTGTTTGCAATGCTCTTAGCTCGCCAACAGTTTATATAACAGCTTATCAGCTTTTCCCCCAAAACTTCAGTATTTAGTTTTGAAATCTGTTTTCTCATAGAATTATAATTTCACACATATGAAAAAATGACTTGAATTGAAATATATATTTGTTGGATGCCTGGATTTTCAGACTTTATTTTTATTTATTTATTTATTTTTTGGTTAGGAGTCTTGAACAATTTGGCAGCTATGGAGAAAAAAGTGTCTTAATAGCAAAAATCCCTTGAGTGCCTGTTGTAAATTGGGTGACTAGAGAAGTGGGTTCTGAGATTAACATATAGGGCATTGATTGGGAAGTGCTCTTGGGATCAGCACCTGGGAAGGTAAGAGAAGAGAAGGGAAGGACGTAGGCTTGGGGCAGAGGAAGAAGCTGGGCAGGAATGCAGTCTCAACAAGGTCTCCACCAACCCCATGGGATGCTCTAAACCTGGCATGATCTTCAGAGTTGTCGTCCGTTGTGGTGAGGGAGTCTGGCCTTTATACTTCCACGATGGCCATTCAGCATAGGCTAGCTGCAACTCCTCCCCACCTCCCACCCCGTAGAACCTGACTTTGGGCAAGGCAGCTCCCTCAAGCTCCGGGCTGTCCACCAGCAGACTCCCAACAGGTGGGGGAATAAATCCTTCAGTCCTGGAGGGGAACCAACATCACAGCGAGCATTACCTTGTCATATCTTGGTTCTTAAGTAGATTTTGTCAAATTTAACAGTAATTTCTAGAGATGATATTTATTTTATTGTTCAGAACTTTCATTTTATTCCAAAAAAATCATTCTTCGATTTAGTTCTAGTTCGGAGTAAAATTATTTTTAAAATCTTTGCATGAATATGCATACATACATATGTGTATAAATGTACATAGACACACACATAGAGTTTGTATATGATTATACCAAACTATTAATACTGGGTTCCCCCAAAGAATTAGGTGGGCATTGGTGGCTGGAGCGGGGGGTCTGTTAGAAAAGAGAACTTTCATTTTTTTGCTTTATATAGTGCAGTAATATTCCAAATTTTAAAACAATTTTAAAAACAAATATAAATAAAATCAAACAAAGAAAAATAATTCTGGAAATTAAAAATTCTGGTTCCAGATCAGTTGTGCGAATACTTTCCTGGATGACTTGAGTAAGTTACTTACCTTCTCTGGGCTTTATCCTCCTTTGTTAAATCAGATGACCTTGGAGGTCCCTTCCAGATCTAACATTCTGACTGTGTGTAAGGGATTAAATAGGCGCCCAAGGATACAGCTGGCCAGAAGGCATCCATACAATAATTTCAAGGGGTTTTCCACTCTTCTAAATCTGGGCATTTGTCACCAATGATCAGTGCAATTTTAAGGTCCTGTTTTTGTTTTTGTTTTAACTTTGTCTTTCTTCTGTAATAAAATTTGAACTACATAACTATCTCAGACTAAAGTAAGAGTCACAAGATTTTAACTTCACAACAGGCTTTAAGCAGGCAGATTGAATTCAGATTTGGATGCCTAAAAAAAAGAAAGCATCGTCAGAATAGGCAAGTGTAACAAATTACAAAATAATTCAGGCATTGTGAATTTTGAGTGAAGGAATGTTTTAAAGTATATATTTCTCGGTCAGCTGGTGTTTCAATTGAAAGTGATCCTCACAAAACACATAAAAAACATGGCTATGGAAGGTGATGGTTAGGATAATTTGCTTGACTGTGGTAATATGTATATGTATATCAAAACATCATGCAGTACACCTTAAATATATACAATTTTCTTTTAAAAAAATAAAACAAAGATGGCTGGACAGTTAGCTCACTTGGGAGAGCATAGTGCTGATAACACCAAGGTAAAGTGTTTGGATCCCCTTACTGGCCATCTACCAAAAGAAAAAAAAAAGGAAAGAAAGATATCCACATTTCTTTTAGAATATGGTTCACACATGTAGTAGAGTACATGTTAAAAGGATATTCTGAGAAAAAGAACCTAGTTACCATCAATCAATCATAATTCAAGGGCCCCTAAATGTCTCCCTCCTACCTCACTGGCTGAGCGCGGTGCGGGTGACACCAAGCCAAGGGTTGCGATCCCCTTACCGGGCATGAAAAAAGACAAAAAAAAAAAAAAGGAAAGAAAGATATCCACATTTCTTTTAGAATATGGTTCACACATGTAGTAGAGTACATGTTAAAAGGATATTCTGAGAAAAAGAACCTAGTTACCATCAATCAATCATAATTCAAGGGCCCCTAAATGTCTCCCTCCTACACTGTAATGATGTCACATGGTAAAATAAGTAGCTGCAGTGTCAACAGACTAAAATAACAACCATGGGGTTTTGACTTAACAGCAGGTTCCAAGTAAACTGTGATATAAACAAACTGCAGCATTCTGTAAGAAAAGAAGATCCATTTTAATATTTCCATTTTGAATAGACGTTTTGTTTTCTTGCTCTTTAAAGTGAAGAACCCAGTTGCAAATCTTCGCAGTGAAGACTTGCTCCAAACCAGGGAATACAAGATTCTAAGTCTGACTGAGGACCTGACAATGAAATGATTTGCCCCAAATTATATTTCTTGTCCAGGATAGAGTCAGATCCAGATTTGAGGTCTCCTGACTTCCAATCAAGTGTTTCTCCTCTACCCCTTCAATCCCGTCAGTTCGTACTTGGGTGTAGACGCCTTCTGGTAAAGAACTGGATTTGCTTGGCTTCTGCTTATACTTTATCTAACGTTTTAGCCTGCACAACACCCTCCCCCCCACCATTCCTTTCCTGCTCCCTTCCTATTGACTATCCTCCCCCTTTAAGTCAGTGTCCCTTTGCTTCCAGTGTGCCACGCCATCCCTGGACACCATGACGGTGCATCCAGCCTCCTTTTGAAAGCTCACTTGTGGTCTCAGGACCTGACCTTCTTCCCACTGTTAGGCTAAGGCATGGACAGCAGTTCATCCAGGATGGAGGCTGCAAGTCCAGATGGGGAAGGCCAAGGTTCTAGGGAGGACCAAGTGCAGAGTTGAACTGAGCAGATAGTTTGGAACCAGTGCTTTTTAAAAAATTTCCAGGATGGAGGCTGCAAGTCCAGATGGGGAAGGCCAAGGTTCTAGGGAGGACCAAGTGCATAGTTGAACTGAGCAGATAGTTTGGAACCAGTGCTTTTTAAAAAATCTGTAAATGTTACCTCTTTGGGTCTCTGCTTGTCCTCTTTAGAATAAGGGAATTGAACAAAAAAATTCCTTTTAGGATTCCTTTTAGCTCTACAATTCCATGCCTTCTCCTTTGTTGTTGTTATTCAACCAGCAGGGGCCTGCTGTGGAACCTGTCCTTGCTGTTCTGTGAAGCATGTAGGAGAAAGTGGTTGTAATTGACATGGGAAGAAAAAATGGACAGAAACCACTAGAGAGCAAAAACAAACACTGTAAAGTCCATGTGGAACATGACCTATAAGTGTAGGAGTTGGGAGGAGAGAGATCACTTGTCACCAGAAAAGCGATGACACTTGTGACGTGGATTGGGTGATAGGTGATTGACAGCAAAGAGGATATGTTGGAATCCAGATTCCTGGAATCTTCTGTGTTCTATAGGTTCTCTTCTGTTTTCATCTAGAGATTCTGAGTTTTATCTGTTGTCGTTATCTGAGTATCATAGCAGCCAGGTTGCTGTTAACTGGGGGAAAGGATCTTCTTTTTCTTCTCTAATGTGCAAAAAGTGTCTACATGTGACAAATGAGATTCCTTGGCCAAGAACAAAACTGACATTTCACTGGTCCCAAGGTGGTTGTTGAACCAATTATTTTAATTTCCATTTTGTACGCCCTTGGCAACTAGAGTTTGAGAGTCTAAAAAAAGGAGGAAAGAATTATCTGTGGGAAGCATAAACCCAGCTCCTCAACCTCCTCCGCAAAAAGAGAATAAATAGACTCAAGTAGGAACTTTCTTAAAGTGCTGGAGAATTTAGGTGGTGCCAAGAGGAAGAGAAAAACTTCCATCCCAATTTCAAAAGCCGACAGAAGGTGTGTGCGTTGGAGTGAAAGAAATTCACATATGTTAATTATTCTCTCTCAACTCTCTTCATAACCCCCTTCTCTGCCAGACATACCCATTAGTTTTCCCTTCCTCACTCGCTCGAATACACATATGCTCAGAAAAACTCCTAGACACAATATGTAAATACACTCGCATGTGCTGCTACATCCGTAAGGATATTCGTTCTCACATCCACATTCATTCAGTTCAACAAACATGGGTACCTGTAACATGCCATGTGCAGCACCGTACACTGGAGATGCAAAAATGAGTAAGACATGGTCTCCATCCTGAATAGTATATAATAATAAACCTATACAGCTGAATACTCAGCAGAACCCTTACACAAATTTCTTTTTTTTTTTTTTCCTTTTTTTTTTTGTCTTTTTGTCTTTTTTACTGACCGGTAATGGGATCGCAACCCTCGGTGTNCCAGGATGGAGGCTGCAAGTCCAGATGGGGAAGGCCAAGGTTCTAGGGAGGACCAAGTGCAGAGTTGAACTGAGCAGATAGTTTGGAACCAGTGCTTTTTAAAAAATTTGTAAATGTTACCTCTTTGGGTCTCTGCTTGTCCTCTTTAGAATAAGGGAATTGAACAAAAAAATTCCTTTTAGGATTCCTTTTAGCTCTACAATTCCATGCCTTCTCCTTTGTTGTTGTTATTCAACCAGCAGGGGCCTGCTGTGGAACCTGTCCTTGCTGTTCTGTGAAGCATGTAGGAGAAAGTGGTTGTAATTGACATGGGAAGAAAAAATGGACAGAAACCACTAGAGAGCAAAAACAAACACTGTAAAGTCCATGTGGAATATGACCTATAAGTGTAGGAGTTGGGAGGAGAGAGATCACTTGTCACCAGAAAAGCGATGACACTTGTGACGTGGATTGGGTGATAGGTGATTGACAGCAAAGAGGATATGTTGGAATCCAGATTCCTGGAATCTTCTGTGTTCTATAGGTTCTCTTCTGTTTTCATCTAGAGATTCTGAGTTTTATCTGTTGTCGTTATCTGAGTATCATAGCAGCCAGGTTGCTGTTAACTGGGGGAAAGGATCTTCTTTTTCTTCTCTAATGTGCAAAAAGTGTCTACATGTGACAAATGAGATTCCTTGGCCAAGAACAAAACTGACATTTCACTGGTCCCAAGGTGGTTGTTGAACCAATTATTTTAATTTCCATTTTGTACGCCCTTGGCAACTAGAGTTTGAGAGTCTAAAAAAAGGAGGAAAGAATTATCTGTGGGAAGCATAAACCCAGCTCCTCAACCTCCTCCGCAAAAAGAGAATAAATAGACTCAAGTAGGAACTTTCTTAAAGTGCTGGAGAATTTAGGTGGTGCCAAGAGGAAGAGAAAAACTTCCATCCCAATTTCAAAAGCCGACAGAAGGTGTGTGCGTTGGAGTGAAAGAAATTCACATATGTTAATTATTCTCTCTCAACTCTCTTCATAACCCCCTTCTCTGCCAGACATACCCATTAGTTTTCCCTTCCTCACTCGCTCGAATACACATATGCTCAGAAAAACTCCTAGACACAATATGTAAATACACTCGCATGTGCTGCTACATCCGTAAGGATATTCGTTCTCACATCCACATTCATTCAGTTCAACAAACATGGGTACCTGTAACATGCCATGTGCAGCACCGTACACTGGAGATGCAAAAATGAGTAAGACATGGTCTCCATCCTGAATAGTATATAATAATAAACCTATACAGCTGAATACTCAGCAGAACCCTTACACAAATTTCTTTTTTTTTTTTTTCCTTTTTTTTTTTGTCTTTTTGTCTTTTTTACTGACCGGTAATGGGATCGCAACCCTCGGTGTTGCGCCCGCACCGCGCTCAGCCAGTGAGTGGGAACTGGTCTCCACATGGGATCCGAACCCTCGGCAGGAGCGCCGCCGCGCTCCCAAGCAGTGCACTCTCCAGTGCGCCACCGAGCCGGCCCCTTACACAAATTTCTAACCCTACAAATGAATAAGTATGTGTCTGCCTACTGATAGTGATACACACTGAAATACAAAAACAGCGCTGCTCATTCATAGATTTTGTAAATTCTCATACCATTAACATTGAAACATTTTGGAGAGGGAGCTCCATTTTCCTGTATTTTTTCTTTATTATTAATTTTTTATCTCTTTTCGAATGCTAGAATTGATTTCTCTTGACAATTCTATTTTTTCTTCTTTCTTTTCTTTAAAAAAAACTATTACTTCTTTAATATGAATTATTCCATGTGGAGAAACAGAAAGGAAAAAGAGAGAGAGAAGATTTGCCCAAGTTAAAAATAAGTAAATTTCCCTCTCAAGAATGAAATCTGTCTTTTTATATTCAGTTGATATAGTGAATATTTATTCACTGGTCCTTTAATGATGTATGTCTTATAATGGGTATTTTGAACCATGATATATGAAATCACCCTATCTTTTTTACTCATTGTAGGTATTTGAAGAAAGGAGAGCTCTGCTTGGAAAATGGGTAAACATTTAAATGTGTCTGATTCTGCATTATGTTATGTTATCTGTTTTAGTCTATTTGGGCTGCTGTAACAAAAACCATAGATTGGGTGGCTTATAAAAAACAGATGTTTATTTCTCACAGTCCTGGAGGCTGGGAAGCCCAAGATCAAGGTGCTGGTGGACTTGGTGCCTGGTGAGGTGCCTGCCTTTTCATAGGCAGCCATCTTCTTGCTGTGTGCTCACATGGCAGATAATGGAGGAGAGTTCTGTGGGGTCTCCTTTATGAGGGCACTAATCCCATGCACGACAGATCCACCCTCATGACCTAATCACCTCCCAAAGGCCCTTCCTCCAAATACCATCACACTGGTTAGAATTTCAACATATGAATTTTGAGGTGACACAAACATTCAGTCTGTGGCATTATCACAGAACCCAAAGAATTCAGTTTGGACTTAAAGTAGTACTTTATGTATGCGTCAGTTAGGATTTGGTCAGAAAAACAGAAATCATACGTTATTTTCACAGACACAATTTAATGAAAAGGACTGGCTAAACAAATACTGGAAAAAGGAAAAGACAAAAGGGGAAAGCTGAGATTCCAGAGAGAGAACTGTAGGAAGCAGCTGCTACCAGCTTTACTGGTTCCTATGGAGCTCAGAGGGAGGCCCTTCTGCACATAGGAGACCCAGACTTCTGAGGAATATTGAGGCAGATGGCATCACAGCCAGCTGATTCTGATATGATGGTTCTGGGTGTGTGGAAAAAAGCTGGACCCTGTAATTAACTGCTACTGTCAGGGTGAAGAGTTAGTGATCCTGACAGGAACAGCAAGCAAACAGAAAAAAGTCTCTTCCTCCTTGATTTCTCTCCAGTGCCTCCCTCCCTATCAGCAGCATTTAACAGGGAGCCAGCTGTCAAAGGAGAAATATGGTTGTAGAGCCCCATCCTTCTATTCTACAAAGCAGAGTTAAAAAGGTGGATTTGGATCTGAAAGACAACAGCTTAGTAACCAGTATGGTTCATTCATTTGGTTACTCGGCATTCATAAGCCCTTCTACATATATACTTAAGCTTCCAGATGAGATCTGTAACAACTTCAGGTTTTTACCTAACAAGATGCAATTACCCTTCATTGCAAATGAGAACTTTCTCATCTGTTCCTCAGATAGGGAGACCAGGAATCCCAATGGTCTTGTCCATCCCTGGGTGATGATCAAAGTATCCACCTCTGGATAATGTTTAGTACTTATCAAATTCCTTCACAGTCCCACCTAAGTGTTCTCTACTACCCAAGAGAATTGAAAACATATGGTCATACAAAAACTTGAACACAAATATTCATAGCAGCACTGTTCATAATAGTCAAAAAGTGTGAACAATTTAAATGTCCATCAAAAGTTGAAAGAATAACCAAAATGTGGTATATTCATGTGATGGAATATTATTCAGCCATGAAAAGGAAGGCAATTCTGACACCTGCTACAATGTGGATGAACTTTGAAGACATCGTGCTAAGCGAAAAAGGCCAGATACAAAAAGACAAATATTGTGTGAGTCCACTTATATATATATGAGGTAACTAGAATAGGCAAATTCATAGACAGAAGGTAGAATAGAGATTACCAGGGGATGGGGAGTTATTGATTAACAGGTACAGAGTTTCAGTTTGGTTTGATGAAAAAGTTCTGGAAATGGATGGTGGTGATGCTTGCCCAACAATGTAGATATACTTAATGCCAATGAACTGTACACTTAAAAATGGCTAAAATGGTAATTTATATATATATTTTACCATAATAAAAAAATCTAAGGGTTAATAAAAAGGATTGAAGTACTGATTCACTGCTACAACATGGGTGAACCTTGAAAATATTATGCTAAGTGAAAGAAGCTAGACACAAAGTCCACATATTGTGTGATTCCATTTATATGAAATATACAGAATAGGCAAATCTATATCAACAGAAAATAGATTCATGGTTTCCAGGGAATGGACGAAGAGAACAGGGAGTGTCTGTAATGGATATGGGGCTTCTTTTGGAGGTAATGAAAATGTTCTGGGATTGGGTAGTGGTGATGACTACATGACCTTGTGAATATAATAAGAACCACCCAATTGTACATTTAAAATACTGATTTTTATGGCATGTGATCTATATCTCAATTTTAAAAAAATATATACCAAGGTTTCTTTAAAAAAAAAGAACTGTTCTTGGGTTCCTCTAAATTGATATATGTGATGATCTTTAAATATTCCCTTTTTAAAACATGTAGTCAAAGCCACTTGAGGGAGCATCTTTGCCCTTGAATATAACAGGAGACAGTTGCCCTTTCCTGTCACTTACTGAAACTTATTTCCCTAAAGACTAACCTAAAGTGCTAGGTCTAACTGTTCATGTTTGGCTTACTTGCTTACCAGCTTTTTTCTCTGTTGTTCTACAATCCCCAATCCAAGGATATTTATTAACCTAAATCTTATATAAAAACCATATACAGAATATCTCTACAAGGATACACAAGAAAAGGGGAAATATTGGTCTTCTACAGGGAGGAGAATTGTGCATCTGGGCAAGGTAGAAACAACTCTTTTCACTGAATAGCCTTTTGTGCCTTCTGATTTTCAAAATCATGTGAATGTATTACCTGTTCAAAATGATAATAAAATTTTACACAAAAAATTAAGAAATTTAAAAAGGACCACATTTTTAAAATCTAAATTTTTCTCATTCTATTTACATTTTTAAACTAACTTGCCATTTATTTCTGACAATTTATAAAGAGATTTATTTAGAATGACCTAATTTTGCACTATCATTCCACTTAGTTTTAGTGAAATCCCTAAATTGATTTACTCAGGGCTAACGCTCAGCCAGTACTCAGTATTGTGGCTGACCAGCTTCTGTCTGATTTGATTGGTTGGTGGCATTGCCAGTTGTTAAATATTTTTAATATCATTCTGGATAAAAATTCAAAGTCTTTTAATTTTTAAAAGATCTTGTTTATTCTTTTCTTTTACCATAGGTAATAGAAATGTATTTGTAGAGATCACTATTATCTATCGTCTTCAAGAGAATAACCTACAGGGGGCAGGGATGGTTTTTACCATGTTTCTCATTGTAGATTCCTTGATGCTTACCAGGCATTTAATAAATATTTTCTAAATAAATAAATGATACTTAATTACTTAATTGTTTTTCTCTTTTGCCCAGTTACAAACTTGTTCCTTAAATTCACTAAATCATATTGTAGCCTATATACCCCTGCAAAAAACAAATGAGTTAGGTTTGAGGAAGACATTTCCAATTTATCTTTATTTACATTTCTCTCTCAATTTTAGCCACCAGACATTTCTGTTTGTGTGTTTCATGGGCAAGATGTTGATAACATAAGAAATGCATTTTCCAAAAAAAAGAAAGGTGAAATAAGGATACCAATATTTTTACTTAGCATTATTTGGGAATTTCATTGTAGGGATCAAGTATTTGTTTTAAAGCTCAATCTAGTACTAGATCTCATTTTAAAAAATCTGAAGAATGAGAGGTAAGATGTAATGTGAATCCTATTCAATGATAGAAAATCAAAAGAATTTCATATTTGGCCATAGAATGTCATTTTTGTTCATACATTTGCATATGATTCTGTCTAATGTTCTATACAGTAACAAACAAAATAGGAGAAACTGAAAAGCTCTTCTACTTTACCATTCCATGCTACTACTTAACCCATTTTCTTTCAAATCTGCTCTTCAACCTCTGTTAGAAAAGGTAGTTGCCTCCAAAATTGGCAAGAATCACCAGCAGAAATATTTTAGTTTAAAAGAAAGTGTCTCAAACTTTTCTCAACTTCTGCTATGTTGTGAACAGAAATAACAGAAATATCATAAAGCATTTTAATAGAATAGATGGCATCACTTTTTACTTGCTGAAAACAACCATAATCAGAGTTAAAATTCAAAAGAAAAACAGGGAAAACTATTTTGCAAATTGCATGATAGATAATGGATTAATATCTGAAATATATAAAGAGTTCCTACACATCAATAATAAAAAATCAGGAAGAAAAATACAATACCCCTGTAGAATAATGGACTAATAAGAATGAGAAATATACAAAAATATATTAATGGCCAATAAGCACATGAAATATGCTTTATTTCAAAATATTACTCTAATATGCAGAAAAATTCAAATTAAAACAATACAATTCTCAACCCTCCCTCCCTCATCTACGTGGCAAAAATTGATGAGCTAAATAATATCCAGTGTAATTAAGGATTCATTGGCAGTGGGAGGGATACTTTTAAGCACAGTTGGAGGGAATGTAAAATGGTAAATGTGTTTTAAAGACAATTTGACAGGATCCATTAAAATTTTAAATGCACGTAACCTTCAAACTGTAATTCCATTTCTATTTATCTGTACTAAAGAAGTATCCACATAGGACATGAAAAAGCATGTACCAGGATATTGCAGCAGCTGCTGCTGCTGCTTTTTTTGGTATTGGAAACAACCTCAATGGTATCAGTAGTAAATTGAATAAATGGATCATGATATATCCATCCTTCCATGAATGAATAAGAAAACAATATGCTCTGGAGTTCATTATGTATCAGGACAGCTAGATTATGTTTATGTTTTAAACTGCTCATGCAGTTTAAAAGGATGGGCATTCTTATTTATTTAACTACTTTCCTATTGATGGACATATGTGTGTGTGAATGCATAGACATGCATGAACATCAAACTTTTAAATGGTTGTTATCTCTGGATAATGGAGTGAAATGTGATGGATAGGAGTGGTTAAAGAGGATTTTCATGTTTGACTCTACAGTACCTGTCTGAAACTTTAAAAACAAGAACATATTCATACTCTAATTGTGAAATTAATTTTTTTTTTTTTTTTTTTTTTTTTTTTTTTTTTTTTTCCCGCAACGGATCCCCACCCCCCATGTCC